TCGACAAAAAAAAAGGTATGAAATCTATTTTTCAACTTTTTTTTTTCAAGATTCTCATTCAGATCGCAGTATCATGGGGGAAGAAGCAGGGTGAACTGCCTCAGGGAACGTCATGAAATAGTTATTTGAGCCGTAATTCCAATGTCCTGTGAGGGTCAGACATTTTGTCCCACATATGGTTCTTCCAGTTTCTCTTGGCGAAGGAAGTTATTAAGGGCTGACTCTGACAGACTCAATTGTTTATTGTCTGTACATAGGGCTCAAGAGAACAAATATGCTTTATTAAAACAGAAATTAGTCATCAACATAAAAAACGACCAGCTGTTTTGAGTACTCTCTACCATGTTTTCTGGGCATATGCACAGGACAAAGCTCAATCAGCTTTCGTGCTGATTAAACTCGTATGCCGATTGCCTAGGACTTTCACACACCTTTGACAAGATTCATCTCGCCTCATCCCAGCCACATGAAGCAAAGGCAATTACACCAGAGTTGTTAACACGGGGTTCTCTTTTTATTGAGACAAGAAAAAGAGGTACTTTTCAGACATGACTAATCTGCGCTATTATTGCTTTTTTAAGATATCTGTTTCCCAATACGGACTGCAAAAAGGACCCTCAGGAAATTAATTTTAAAAGTGGAGAAATACACTGCAATCTAACTTTTCCTGTTGTATAGATATACAACATATATGCAATTTGCCCTTAGATACAGCGCTTTGAACAATGTTCTGTGCTCTAAGTCCAAACACCACAATCCCTCCCTAAGTCAAGCTCTGGCTACAAAGAGCTGGAACAAATCCAGAAACGCCACCAGGTTACCATGAGGGAAAGTCACGCTGGAGTTACCACCTCTCTCCTTTCTGCTCACAGGTCTGTCTGAAATCGCTCATCATGAGCACTTCAACTACATCAGCCTTCCTTCTAATTGCAACCAGCCAGGCTCATGGGTCCAACCAGAGTGTGGCTGTGGGAAAGGCAGAGGCATCATATGCTGTCCTCAAGTTCATGGAGAGCTTCTGCCTCATCAGCGCTGCCTGTGGGATGGTGGGAAATGGCATGGTCCTATGGTACCTCGGCTTCCGTATCCGGAGAAACCACTTCACTGTCTACATCCTGAACCTGGCCGCTGCCGACTTTGGCTATCTCCTCTGCATTGCCATTGAGACAGTTCAGTACCTGATGCAGTTCAACGTGGGGGTGCAGTTTGGGATATTCCTCTTCCTGGACCTTTTCATGTATGGAACGGGCTTGTATCTCCTGACCGCCATCAGCATTGAGAGGTGCCTGTCTGTCCTTTGCCCAATCTGGTGCCGAAGCCACCGCCCAAAGAAC